TGTTTTGGCGTAAGTTCTAGAAAGGGGTGGAAGCGTAGCCTCTTGAGGACGTCGTATAAAGGGGGCCAAGAGTTACTGAGCCAACAGGGCCTGGAAACTAAGCCAGGTTTTTATTTCAGTGCAGACAGCTCCACGAAGTTCTTAACCTTGTGCGCGAACCGTTTTGAGAGTCTCTAGACATCAGTACTCAATTAGAGCCTTCTCCAGCTACCCCTTAGTTATTATTGCTCCCAGGAGTGCTCTGACCCGGAGCACGAGAACCTGCTGAGGGTTTCAATTATAGGTGAAATATATAATATCAGCTCTACTGCGGGGAGGCGGACCTCGTTAGTCTTGGTCGTCAAACCACCTAAGAGAATAAACCCTGACATAAAATCAAGGAGCAGAGCCCCTTTGAGGCAGTTAGTTGTGTTTTTCGTCAACTACCCGGCAAACTCCTGCAGCCAAGCTGGTGCCAAACGTACTTCTCTCCTTTCCTTTGGACCATATCGGTAAGGCCGAGAGGGGGATCCTGACGTCTTGGGCAGCCCAGAATTACCATGAACTTCGCCCAGGCTTGCACTCTGGAGAGGCTACTTCAGTGCCGCTGCTAAATCGCCTTGTTCAACCACTCTAGGGGCTGCAGCCTAAAAGAGTTTGAGCACGAGTGCAGTTGTGCCATCGTCTCACGAGACAGTAAGTTGTCAATAAAATATTTGAGTTATCAATTGCACTACGGTCTTTTGTTAAATTGTTTGTATCAGTCAAAAGAGAGAGCAAAACGTTTTTGCAGCTTAGAAAATGAACCATGAAAGTATTTCAATTTGGAGCATGGATCTGACAAACAAATGTGTTGGTGCAGCAACTCTGCTTTGATTTAAACGATTAAGTAAGAAAAATAGCCATAAGGCAAATTTTCTGTTTGCGTTTACCTTCCTATAGATCCTCGATTTCTAACCAATGAGCGCAGCAAGCGAGTGAGATGTCGAGTTGAACACGAGAAGAGAAATTTCATATCTACAAACAACCATGTATTATTTTGTTTATCATATAAACAGAACAGCCCTTTATTGAAAAGAAAAGTCGACTTAACTAATGACTGAAAGTAAAAGGATCGACAATCCCCGAATAAAAATTGCACAGTGCGTTGAAGCTAAGCCGGCTCAAGATGAAAAAATGCGTTGAAATATTGTACTACAAAGACAAACAACGGGCGTAATTTTCAATATAAAAAATTCTTAGTTGTTGACTTGGTCCATGACGACAGAAATCTTTCGGGTTCATGGCCAAAATTAGCCTGTGAAAAATGTTCCAGTGGTCGATTTTTGTTCTCAGCCGCGAGAAATGTCATTACCAAAGCCACTCAATACATAACCTTTGGTTTTTCTTTCCGTATTTTGGTTTTCTTCATCTTCTAGGAAAGTTTGAACGTTACTGTCTATAAGCGATACGGATTTTTCAGTGCTTTAGCTGCCATAACCCGAAAAAAATCCGACAAACGATCTTGGATTGAGAATGGTGAAGACTTCGCCGTTCATTCATCAACCTGAAGGAGTGGCGCCAAAGGCGATATCCAACAGACGTGAAAAAATATCGTATTCTTTCACGTGTGTTGTTACAGCTTTTCTCAGGACTGGAAATCCTTGTATAACACCGTAGTTCATATGACAAAGAGAACAAACAGCATAGCTTTATTTAACGTGAAAATATGCTTATTCATGGGGGCGAGTTTACAGATATTTTACGAGTAATTTAAATTTAAAATTAAGATCAAAAAGAATTAATTATAAAAATTATGTTGCAGCCACTATTAAACAAAATGCAAGTGACCGCTGAGATATAAATGTTAAGTGAAAAGCTATTTAACTAACATATCAATATGATGTTAAAAATTATGATAATCCTAAAATTTTAGATCGAAACATTAAGCTTCGAGCCTTGCTAACAAAATCCTTGGTTACGGCGAATGTGTGTATCTTGTCAAGTAGTGTCTACGATACCGTTATAGGTGAATAACACTCAAATTTGTCGTTTAAATCGCAGCAAACTCACGAATATGGCCTGAGTCAAACCAGGCTTTGTCGTTTGCATAAAGGTTTAATTGGGTACGATGTGGAGGCTACTGTACTGTACTGCGCAGCCCAGATGTCTTATTTCCACCAGCCCCCTTTCCCACCTTTGTCAAGAAATAAAACTTTTGTAACAGTAAAACAACCCGCCAGGTTTCCAAACGTCAGTAAGAATCTAGTGTGATTCCCCCTCCCCCCCCAACCCTAACTCCCTCGGGGGCTAAACTCCCACCTAATTCACTACCGATAGAAAAGGGCGGCAACCTTTCTTTCCCTTAATTTCCTGCTTACTCAGTGATTTAAAAGAAATATTAGAGCAGATTTTCATGACAGGGTAACAGACCAAACAAGGAATGAATAGAGAAAAGATTCCCATGATGCACCATCCAGCCGCACAATCGATCCCAGGTTCCTCACATGAGCAAGGCTCGTCGGCCCAGTTTCTCCCTGAATCTTCGTCGTCCTTGGTGCAATGATAAAACACAGCTTTGACACAGCACATACAAGTACAGCACTCTATCAATTGTGTTCTATCCGGTTTTAACGGCTCGCTGGCATAAACAGATTCACCTTGGAATTCCTTTCTTTCCGGAGAATTTGTACGATCAGTGGCCCTATTTTGAGAGATGATATCTGTCCCAAGGTTAATAATGACATCAGCATCGCTCGAAACGGCTTGGTAACGCACAAAATGTGGGGATCTGGCACCAAGATAGGCAAAGTAGGAGAGTTGAGGTTGATTCTTAACGGGTTGGTTTTCTGCTATAAGGTCTGTAACATATCCTCTTTCCTTATCCCAAGCGCTCTTCCACTCACCTGGCTGAGTTTCTTGGCTATGTTTTCTTTCTCCGCTAAACGGAAAGGATTTGCATCTTCGAAGAGAATCTTTTTTCTTTCCTTTCTTTGGCTGCTCTTTTTTTAACCTAGAGTCATCGCTGTCAGAATTACTAACAAGGACACTTATTGCGGTATCGTGGCGTGTTGAATCTGAAGGCGAATCTGCTAGTTCCGATATTGATGGCGATCTTCGTATGGCCATATCTTTTTCTATGGATCGCTGCTGATAAGGAGATTTTGAGGCGTGAGTATTCTAGCTAAATTAGGTTATTCTCTGGACTGTTTGGTTTTATCAACTGAGTTGATAATGTAAATTGGCCACCGTAAAGAGTTTAAAAGCTGACGTCAGAGCCAAGGGCTCTGACGAAGGGCTAACGCTCGAAACGTCAGCCTTTAAACTCGATGGTTACAAGCTGCTCGTTAACCATTTCTTAACTAAAATTACGCTTCAAAACGATTCGCAAAGATATGATTTTTAGGCTACATACATGGAGCTTAAAACCCTCCGCCCTGCTTTCAGCCCCTTGTCTGCTTTTTGATTACAACAGACTGGTCCGGTTCCTGCCAGTTAGAGTTTTTAAACTCTATGTTTATGTATATTTACAAAGTCCATTTTCCAATTTATTTCAATGTTCTCGAAGATATTAACTACTTAGCTACCCTGTTAATTCGAGATAAATTAAAAGTTAGGCTTAAAAATTGACAAATTTTAACAGTTAGAAAATTAACCGCTTAAGACTCGAAAGAGCAACAGAAAGGGAATAAAAATGAACAATTACTACATACGAATGTGGAGAGATGATTACAAAACGTTTGCGCGGACCGAGCATATATATGTATACATACATATATATATATATTCTAAAAAACAGAGCTCTGAAAAAAAGACAGAAAAATATCTTACCGATGACGTAGTAGAAGCTCAGTGATTAGTCAGCGAATAAACAACTGGAGCTGTTCCGAAGTTTTTTCTATTTCACGTAAAATCACGGAGCTTTATGAGAATAAGTTTCCCGTTCTCGATTCACGAGTTGAACATAACTAAGGTAAAATTTTTGTGGATTATAACGTTGTTTCCTCCGTGCATTTTTGCATTGACGTAATTTGTTTGATCATTCAATACGTCATGTCTCAAGCCTTCGAAAATAACCGTAGTCAATTTGAATTTTGGTTTGGTTGTTTTCTTTTCTGTTTGTTTTATTATTTGTTTTCAATTTTTTTTTCTTTATGTGAGGGAGCGTTTTTCAAACAAGAGGCATATACTGAAACTGAAAACGTTAAAATTTACTTATAACATTTGAGACAAGCTGAGGTTTAACAGCCAACGAATCAAAACGGATACGTTTCTACCCAAATATGGTAGCAAAGGTTACAGGTATGATATGTTTTTGAGAAACTTTAGCCACACACTAGAGGCCGATACTAAGAGGCCGGTAAATTTAATCTTGTGTGAAATTAAATGAGAATGAGAATGCCTGCGGTGCGATGACCGAAAAAAACCCAAACCGCATTAAAGCATCAAGATGACCCGTTTGTGTATGTCCTGCGGGAGATATTGTTAAAAACGCCGAAATGCTACATGATAGGGAGTTATTTTGCAGTGCCTAGTGTAGGTAACCATGCAGCTCTGATAAGAACTGTGCTTACTACTTAAAACCATTTCATTTTTTCCCTTATTATATACTCAACAAAATATCGCGTTTTTGATTGGTCAATGATGAATGCATAAATAGGTTATAGAGTGCAATAGAGGTTATAGAGTGCAATACGGAGAAGTTGCCATGGAAACACCGGGGAAGCGCCAAATTTGAACACCAAATTATAAAAAAATGGCTGACAGCCGGTTTGCTTTGTCGAGAATATAATAAATAAAAAATCGTATGAACCTACTCGTGCATTTCGTGATTTATGGTCACTCGTGATGTTTTGAAAGTTCTCAAATTGCACTCGCATACGGCTCGTGCAATTTTGAGAACTTTCAAAACATCACTCGTGCCCATAAATCACGAAATGCACTCGCGTTCATACGATTTCCTATACTTATTTTTCATACGAGGTGTTTCATTCTACTAGACTGATATTGTATATATTAAGAAATGTAACTCCTCGGTCAGGATAGAAGTTTAATTATCCCTTACTTTGATATTTCAACTAGTAATGAATCATGTAATATTTCTAAAAGATAAGCAATGAAGCTAAGAAACTATGTGAAATGTTTTCGTAAATATTTCACGCCGATATCAGCTCAGGAATGGATTAAAAGATTCAAGGACCCTCCATATACTTCTCACTCTGTTTTGTTATCGTTACAAATTCAGTTTGCTATTTTCTACAGTATTTACAGACATCCATTTATAAATTGTGTTTCATATCGAACGAAGCTGATTTCCGAGTGAAACCTAGCAGAACTATATCTATATCAAGCAATCTATCATATGTCAATGATTTGGTATTTTTTTTCTTAAGTTAAATGATAAGATCAATTGTGCACACATTTTAGTTGGTTCCTATGACCTATTGGACAGACGCATAAATGACGTTACCATAAACAACATTTTGGTTGTTTTTTTCATCATACATAGCAAAGAGATTCCATGTTACCGTTGGTCTGTACAGTTAAAGATCACAGTGCCCCACTTGGCTGCGCCACGTGTGCCATTACTTTTTTTTGTGATCTATTATTACTGACCAGAGGCACGGTATGCAGAATCTATTTTTTACTTTGATTTGCGTTATTTGGGAGTCGTTACCACTCAATGTTACAGCAGTATGCAATTTCTAATACTATATAAGGTATCCCGCCCCAGTCTGCTGGTTTGCGGTTAGTTTAGAACGTGTCTATATTTCCAGTTATCAGTAACTGGTATGATTCCACACTGTAATGCGTTTTTGGGTTACTTTCTAGCTAAAGAAAAACCCTTTCACTCCCGGGAGTGATCAATAAGTCATCTCTCATTAAAGCATCAATACACTGTCAAGAAGTCAGCCGATAAGAATAAAGATGTTAACAAGGAGGACATCGATTGATTGAACGACAAACTCTTATCTTTGAATGGTATATATGGCAGTCATTACGAGACCCCTACACATAAAAAGGAACTAAGAATTGTCCCGTTTTGTAACCGTCTTACTAGATACTTGCTAATCGATACCCTATTTTACTGACTACAAGGTTTTCGCTCTTCCTGCTGACGGGGAAACAACCGATAGGGGGGATCTACTTTAAACACGGCGCTTAATATTTTAAAGCTACCTTAAATTTGACCAGCAAATTTCAACCTTGTTACTGATCAAAATGTTTGGATTGACATGATATACCAAATATTAACATTCGGCGAGTAAAATAGGATGGAAACTTTATCCCTGAGATAAACGTGAATCTACAGGGCTGCGACGAAATTATTAATAATTTCTATATCACAGTTCCATTTCTGGAATTCATCAATATTGATGCAGGTTCCATTTCCGAAGACGAGCATCCTATAGGATCCCTCCTTCTCTCACGTTCATCTCCGCTGTTCATACTTTTCACACAGTCGTGGCACTTAAAATATGCCTCAAAAGGGAGGTAACAACACAGGCAAGGCATGAATATGGACATGACTCCCATGATCCCCCAGCGGCCCATGCACTCGCTCACAGGCCCCTGGCATGAACAGGGATCCTCGGAAATTTGACCTTCATCTTTGTTATCTTTGGTGCAGTGGTAAAAGAGTCCTTTCACACAGCACATGCACGTGCAACAGTCCAAGAGGTCGTGGCAATCTCCACGTCTTTCGTCCTCCTCGATCGCTTCAAATTCCTGGCAAATAACATTGGTGGCGTAAGGAGATATAATCGACGTGCTCGTTATTATCACTGGCCGATCAGCTAAGATGTCATGCGCCGAGTGAAGCCGTCCCCGCTGAGTATCTTTCGGCGCTGGGGTGAGCTTGCCTAGATATGCGAAGTAGCAGAGTGGAGCAGGCGGCTCCCGAGTAGAAAGAGACCCGAGACTTCGCCTGCCTCCCGGTTTGACATGACCTGTGCTTCGTCTCGCTGGGGCTATCACATAATGGCCACTCGCACTCGGCTGAACACCATTCACGTGTTTAGCTGACACACCTTCTGTGTCAAGTGCGATGTTCACGGGTGTTTCTCGCGCGGGAGTTGACTTTGAGCGTAACACTTTGTGCCTCGGGCTCAGGTTGATATCCTTATCGTCTCGACTTGTGTGGTTAGCTTGTGCATTTTGTTCAGGTTTTTGACTGGTTAGCTTCTTTGTTGCTCCAGCCGCAGCTGCCGCGTCAGAAATTTCTCTTAAAGTGCAATATTCGCCTCCCATGTCGAGGTGTACTGGAGTTGAACACGACTCTTTCTCGTTTTGCAGCATCTTTCCTATACCGTCATTTCCTAGAGAAAATTGAAAAAATGAAATTTGTGTTGTTTTTCCTTCAAGCTGTTACAATAAATATGGAAACGAGCACAATGGTTTAGAGGCAAATGAAGAAATTTAATTCCACATTCACGAACTTCGCCGCTGGGATGTCGAAAAGCATTTGTCAAAGAAAGATGTGTAAGAACAAAAGTTTGTTGCCAGTTTCACACTTATTTCGGTAACTGATCGCGTATGAAGCTTTTAAGCTTAAAACCAAAAACATCCTTCTACTTTTGTACTAAGACATTACCTGATCCTTAAAATGCATTCATAATATGATAATTTTAAAAGAAGACCAGTCATTCAAACCATGTATCATGTTAGTGGTAGATATCTACGATAAATTTCAGTGTTTAGTCCCGGCCGACGCCTCAATTTTTTCCAAGAATAAAATCATACTTCATACTAAAATCTAAGGATACAACAGAATCGTTTATATATGTATTTTACTTAGACAATAGAAAACAGGTGTTAGAGATTTAAAATGTCAAGTCTTTTACATTTGCATCTGCCTCAACTAAATGAGAACACCTTAAACCTGTATTAACCTTTCAGAACACGAAAGCACAAAAGCCTCTATGAAATTACTGTCCTGGTAATACATTGTCTACAAAACAAAATCGATATCACATCAATAGAACCAAATTTATCAGCCTGTGAGAAGCCCAGAAAAGAGGCTTTTTCTTGAATGAATTGAGATCTCCATTAAACGTCGGCGACAATTTCGAAAAAAAAAGGTAATTAAATCGAAATACTTGAAGAAAAACAAGATCCTCACCTTACAAAACGGTTTGTTTTAAGCTCAGTTGATTCCCAAATGAAACATTTTAAAGAAAACCTATTGTCTACTGTTTCTTCACGCGATGAAATAAAATTGAGCATCAGGTCATTGTGAGAAACAAAACAGAATTACGCGTAGAAACGAAATTAGCACAACAATATAATCTTTTAGTTTCTGTCACGAGATTTACGTCATATCCTGGTACCAGTCTGATCTTAATCACCGATTCAGGCGATCATATTAAGTTTCGTCAAAAAATTTTTGATAATTTCCGTATTACTATGAAATGATACATAGAAACTGACGCCCGCAAATTATTACAGGTTAAATAACAATTTCGAAAGAATTGTAATTGCTTTAATAAATAAGTCACCCACGCACAAAGAACTTCCTTTTATCACAAAACCAAAGGCAAACTCTTCGTAAATGAAAGAGTCGTCAAATATGGATAAGCTTTCTGGTAAACCATGTTGTAAGACAATTTCATATGTATACTCACGCCGCTCTCGATTGCTAACAATGCTTGATGCAAACGCAGAAAACTCGTTGATTTCGGAGTAAGTATTCTAATCTGCATATCTTCCTTAAAACCTTTTTTTATCTTTTTTAACCGTGAAACACCTTTTATAAGCCGGCCGCGGAAACTGGTGGATTAGCGCTTGGATTTCGCGTCTAGAGGTCTTTGTTTCAAAGAAGGACCACTAACAATAAGTGAGTTCATTAAATTAAGTGGTTTAACATAGAACTTATGAAGGGTTTTTTCACAGAAACATCACAATAATTATTCTCAGTTTTCCTCTATACCATACCGCTAGGAAAACAATGACCGAAGTGTACAAGTATCCAAACCACATTGTTTACATTTAGATGTTTTTAGTGTAAGAAACCTGTTTAACACGCCATCCCGCCCTTGCTTGAAACCGAAGCATTTCTTTTCTATCTCGTTTCGCTGCGTACAGAGTAACCTCGAAGGTAATTGTAAACGATGACATAAATGAACGATTTTCAGAATATGACCCACGTTGAAGATAGTCGAATAAAGTAAAGGTTATGGATTTCTATTCCAGCGCGTTTTCTATTTCTCAAAACTCATTTGGTGAATGGGTTTTTCGCATCGTTGCGTCATGACAGAGGTTCCTGGCCCTCAAACAAAGTTTACTTTCAACTAAGTGTCCTTTGCTCATCATCTCAAGGCTTTGTGTCGAGGAAGCTTACGGCTGAAAATACTTGGTTAACCATTTAAACTCCGAGTATTGAAATTTGGCAACTAATAATATGTTGAATATTTTCTTGTTATCTATATAAAATCACTTAAAAGCTATTTATATCTCCTCATCTTTCACGTTGACGAAATGTCATTAAAAGATAAATTTTCTACCATGCATGCATAGGTTCACCTGTGAAGCTTGTATATGCTCAGCATAAAATTCAACCCTGAAAGGCAAACCTGTTTCCCCAGTTTTTATATGAAGTACCTTCCTAATATTTTTAAAATTTTGAGCATCCATTAGAGAGCCCCTTGACGCAAAATGACAGGGACAACTACCTTACTTACGAGCTATTTTGTCTATTTATATTGTTCTTCGGCTCGTTGAGATGTTAATGAAACCATTGTTGAAGAATCATACCTAGTGCGTTTGTCCACCAGTCAGCGGATATTGATCTTTAGAAACTAGTTTAGGATCTTTTAGCTGCAAAACCTGTCGTTATTGTCTCGTGTCGAAACGAACGTATTGCGGTTAGCTATTAAAATATGCTTAGGGTTACACGTTTTCGCCGCTACTTCATTTATGAATAATAATAAAGTGAATATGGAAAACTGATCAGTTCTTTTGACGTCATAATACTTGAAAATACTCTAGAGATAAACCATTTGCAGGTAGAACTGTCGCCAAAATGATTTATAACCGGCAGCATTACTCATGCAGGGCCGAAAGCGAAAGAAAAATTTCAAACGAACTCAGAAAACATCTCCCTTCTGCCTTGAACAAAAAGCTATCAACATTTTCTCTGTCAAATCAAACGACCGATCATAAAGCTATGACACTAAATGTCTGTTATCTTCTATTTCATGACACGACGTTTCATATTTCATGTGCGTTCAATTATGTCGCGTCAGGAAACTTTTTCAGTTTTTGAGTAGTCTGGCTCGTTACAAACTATATTTGGGTCGGTGTTTTATTTTTTCGATCTTTTATCGTAGAGAGAAGGTATCAAAAAAATTTTCCAAAGTAAAATAAATAAAAAGATACATATTAAATAAGAAGTATTATAAATGACATAGATCGCTAAGTAAAAAAATCATGGGCAACTTGCTTTATCGAACTGAAGCTTCAACAATGAAACTGTCAAAATATTGGATTCCGAGCGCTTGTTTCCGAAAAAACAAACTTTTCCGTGCTAAAGGTGGTAAGTTTCTATAGAAACTTAGGTGCTGCGTTGGTGGGAGAGTATAGCAAGGTAACTGGTTGTATCAACTCACGTGCAAGGTTGTTGTGATCATGAGAAACCGCTAAATTAGTGAGTCATTGAACGACGTAATTAACCATAAATAAAAAGTTCCATCAATGAGTTCTACAGGTTATGAAGACATGTTTGGCCCTTTTATGAAGGCGCCACACGTATGCGCGTTTGCAGCGCACGAAATCTCTTCCTATAATCATTTTCAGCAGATTTCTCACATACTTCACTGAATTTAAAAAGAAGTCAGAAGGCGGACAACAACTACAACAACAACAAAAAACCTTCAACTTCAACTTGAGACCGGCGATAAAAGGAAATCCTGACGCAGGTAAAACTCGGTGGCGATCAGACCAGTGGGATGGCGAGCTGAAGTATTTTTGGAGTCCGTAATTAAAGTTCAAAAACAAGGAAAACAACTGAACTTTTAGCCGGCAAACAACTTGATGTTTGTGTGAACTTTCTAGAGTTTCTATTTTGATCGGTCGGAATTTTGAAGATCATTTCCTCATAATTCATTTTTTTCCCGATTACTAGACATTTTAGTGTCTGTACTTCCATTGTTTTTTTGTCGATTTTCCGCTATGATTTTCCCCACCCGTCAAAATCCCTGCTCTTTACGAATAAATCTCGTGGATTGAAGACGCAAATATAATTTTCGGACCGTCTTTGAGTAACTTCAGAGCTCAGGTCTTTAAAATGTCCAGTTAAACTTATCTCGATGCAATATCGGCTGTTAAATAAATGAGCATTAAAATCCTTTTATTTTTATTACAATAGCTACTTTTTCTTTTCGCTTCCAGTATTTTATTTCCTATTAAAGGAAGTACAGTCCTGGTGGTCCCATATCTGTGCAACGAAAGACTCGCGCTAACGGCATACGTCTCACTCGCAGGCAACAATCACCCACGCGCATTTTCCCCCACGAAAATTGAATCTCTATATTTTTAGCATTCCAAAACGTGGAAATTTCTGCATTTGTCAGAAAAGTGATTTGTTCGCTGAAATATCTCATCCCCAAAACACATCTGTCTCGTTTCATATATATATAAAAGTTTTAACTCTCTCCAGTCTGCAAGACTCACTGAAGACTGCTTTTTTATATTCCAGTGACCTCGTTACACAAAAATACTCATTAAATATGTATAAATGAAGAATAATAATTTCTGGAAGCATTGTTCTTATAATAAGCTATAGCAGTCGCACAGCTATATTTTATTGAAGAACAAAAAGATCTTCTGATAAATGTGTAAGGCGCTGGCAAAGTGAGGCATCAAAATTAACGTCTTTGACTGATAGGTTGTCATCTTCAGCTTTTCTTCCGCGGATGGTTAAATTGTCTTTCGTGTTGTCGCGGTTCTATTGTGATTTATTGAATCCGAATAGATCGAGAATTAAAAAAAAAAAAAAGAAAGACAGAACCGAGAGAATTACCACGGTGAGTTATGCCTAAACAAGAGCCATGAAGGGAAAGAGCCAAAAACAATCTGATTACAAATTTGAGAAATATCTAACTGATATTTTTTTGCAATAAATTGCCCATTTTGGAGTCGTCGTGCATCTGAGAACCTTTGAGGACAACAGTTTCGAGTAAGCAAATATCTGTGACAAGATTTTTCAGTGAGTTTGTTGTTTCTGGTCCAAATGAGGCTGCCTCTGGTAGCAGCCCTGGAGTTTTCTTTTCCGTGTTACAGACTAATCAATTGGAAATATACAGTCATTTTTTGCCTCAAACGTAGCGCCGTACTCTGTAATTAACCGACTAAGTTAGTAACACCACAGTGAAAAGAGTTTTTATTAGGGTTTCATGTTTTCTTCATAAACCGCGAGAAAATCAAAAGACCTTACGCTAGAAACGAACTAGATTATACACGTGTGGCTAGCCACGCCAATACCTTTAAAATCGCACAGTGTTTATAAATAAATAAATAATTTTTCGAAGTTGCAAATATTGAACAAAAAGAAGTTATTTTGTAGCTTACCGAGTTGATTGTGATCCGAAGAATTGTTTTAACGCAATGAGCGTGCTTCTGTCGAGCGAATTTTTCGCGAATCGATCGAGGACTTTCAGTATTGGTGATAAGTGTATAAAACAGAAAGCAGAAATGGCGGCGTTTATATAATGTACGACTCTTTGACAATTCATACGCACTTCTAAGCTGCGCGTCAGTGACGCAAGTGGTGCGAATTTGAATTTGACAAAATCGAACAGATGTGCATGAAAGCTTCAAATGCTTAATTATATTTGTTGTTTTTTCCTCGGTGGTGTTTGATGAATAAAATATCTACATCTTGTAGGGAAATATCGCACGGAGATAGTACTGATAATTTTTTCAAACGCGCGCTAGAAAATTTAATGGTAACCTAAACATATATAATATTGGTAAAATGTCAGCTACGAATGAATTTGACAAGTCAGCTGAATTTATTTAGAATAATGAAAAGAAAACTATTTTCATTCAAATTTCAGATACTAGAATAAAGTGGATTTTAATTAAAACTGGAAAATTATGACTTTGGCAGAATACGCGCGCTGGCGTTAAACTTGCTAAGAGCGATTTATCCACCATGCAAATTTATAGAATCTTAGTCTTGCAAGAAAAGAAAAGTCAGAACGGTCTTTAGGAATCAGTGACTAAGATCGTTTTGATAAGTAATATAGGCACCAGTCAGTCTGCGATCGATGTAAGTCTTCATTTGGAAATCAATAATGTTTGGCAGACTTACTTGCGTCAGATATCTGGCTACCCCATCAACAGAACTATATGTGTGCTCAGCTTGTAAACATGGAAATGAAAAAAGCTTTACGTTGCACGGAAAAAGTCTCACGTAGATTCCATTTCTAGAAAGATTTCCTGCACAAGAAACTGAAAGTCTCGCGTTTTTACATGTTAATTACAACAAGTGCAATTACAAAAGAAAAATTAATAGAGGGTAGAAGAGAGTTTGGCAACCTTCCCGCCTATAGGTCCAAAAGATCAAAAGATCGGCTATTGCAATTAGGGCTTGATGCCCATTAAGAAAAAAGAGAAAAATAACGAAAAAAACAAAACAAAACAAAACAAGAAGGAAAAGTTGGCAAGTAAATATCATTACTGTGACTTAAAACTTTTGGGAATTGATAAGAACTTTACTAACGTAGTCCTCATCGACGCCTTACGAAAAGCACGTTAAAAACAGCAGTTGAAGAATAAAACTGAAAAACAGGAAGATGGATAACTTCTTTGAACTTTCCTGACGGGTGGGGTCACGTATAAATTCCCTTAATCTCATGATTATTTTATAACACAACGTATCTTCGTGTGATCGCGATAATTACTTCCGCGAAAGGAGTTGGAGTATTACCTCAGAAAAAATTCGGTACATGGTTACAAAAGGCGACTGTCCAGCCGTATCTAAATGTTTGTGGATCATACCACAAAATGATGGAACAGTATTTTTTTGAGATTTTATTTCTAATGTAATTAGAGCCATTTTAGCGACTAACGTCGGTTTGTTGACGGATGTCTGAGGTTGCCATGATCTCACTTCCACGAGGAAAGAGTTGTTTACAGGCTAATTATTTTGATTCAAACTAAAGCTCTCATTTTTATGAATGATGAATCCATTTGCGTCATTTTCAGTGGAGATTTATACCCTCTCCTCTTTGTTCTTCCCAAATAGGCTCCCAGACGAATAACAAGCAAGACCTATAATCAATAGCCGTCCATCGTCAAAAATAACGCTCATGCTAAATTGGTGTTTCACTGAGTTGCGTCATCAGCAGCGGGAATTTTGCTGTGAAAAAATATAACACTTTTCCTTGGGAGCCTTCCATTGTCTTAAAAATTACGTGTTACTCTATGGCCAAGATAACTTCTAAAAGAAGAAATTTATCAAGGAAAAAATTATATTTCCTTGTGTATATAGATCATGCCGAGACAACTGTGACACATGTCAAAGAAAATTAGGAGAAACTCTGCGCTAGAAATTTTCCTTGACACTTTTCCAATGTAATGGAATGGGCGAAATTGTTTTTATCGACGGAGTAAACTTGTAAGAGTTTTAAGAGTGACCTAAACATGCCGTTGTCTGGCGTTCGTTTAAAAACTAATAGGAACTAGATCTCATTTTCCTGCGTTTCAATGCAAATTCAATATATATTGACAGTTCCTGTTTGGCGCCAAAAGAATGTCATGGGTATTTTTCCGCGAACAAAATCCTATTTGTCATGGAAATAAAAATAAGAAACTTAGAAACAGCAGATACGTAATAAGTACATTTCCTCAAGAAGGAAATTACATCATGGAAAAGTTTTTTGTATACAACATTTTAATGAGTAATAGCATGATACCAAATGATGACGTTCAACTGAAAAAACAAGGCGTCCAACGCAAATGAACAACAGATCGCTTGTCAAAAACACATCAATCTTGTCCACCCTTCGCCATAAGCGTTCCTTTTGTGGTGATTCTTTCCATTTTATCACTTTGCTCTCTTATCAAACAAATATTTTGTGGTTCCCTTGAAATGAAAGAAATTTTGCATGTTCCATTGAAATTAATGAAAAAATATTGGAGGGTTTAGCTGATTGTTAGTTAATGGCTTGTTTAAATGTTTTATATCCATGTGTATTTAGCTGCCTGATAATCAAGTTGAGTTGGACGAAGAATAATCAAATTCAGCGGTCACTGTGACCTTCGAATGAATGCTTAAATTGATGAATTTTATTCATTATTTTGCCTTACAAACGGGAACTATTACATCGTCTAAAATATCTAATCAACATATGCATTACCTAGGATCCGTAGAGAGGATTATACTCTTATAACTATGTAAAAGCTTTTCATGGGATGCGTTAGAAATATTGTCAACTTTTATTATGATGGGATTATAATTCAACTACTCGTTCTTAGCCTTAGGTGTATAGCAGTGTCAGAAACACTGTGGTTACCAAAGCGATTACGTTTCTTTAAAATTACCTCAACGCCGTACTCTGCCCCCGCAAGGATTCACTTTGAGGGGGAGTGTACGGCTACACGTAGGTTGCCGAGTAAGTTGCGCGCATCCCTGTTTTAAATCAGCGAAAACAGCAACATTGCTAATACAACTAATACAGCTTACAGTTTAGTTAACACAATGTTATGAAATTCCTAACTCCGTGCAAAAGTTAAAATGTTCAATGAAAAACAACCGAGCCATCAAGTATGGTGCTCGCATAACAAGAATCACTCACAGTCGAAGTTTTTATCCAGGACTGTCAGAACTAATGGCCAGACAGGAAATATGCTGACATCACAGGCAGTAGGAGAGATAGATACGTGACGACCAATCCTTTTGCGTCACCTGGCTTTCCAGGCTGCCCTGACGGTTTCACTGCAGTAGGCGCCTCCTCTTCTTTACCTGTTCCGGTATTCTGGCAATTGCCTCCATTACAGTCGCGTTTACACTTGATTCCATTGCACTCCAACAAGCAATTTCCACCAGGACAGGACATAACACACATGTCTGAACCCTTCTCACAGTGCATGTTGCAATGTCCCTTGGTGCAGGTCTGTCGACACTCCTTTGCCTTGCATCTCATGTTGGTGCAGTTTTTTTCGCAGATCTGGCTGCAGTCACCTTGGTCAGTAGTGCACTGGAAATCAGCGCAATTGCCTCCCAAGCATTCACTTTTGCATTCTTTCGCTGTGCACTTGATATCGCAGGCTCCTTGCGCGCAGGTTTGTTGACAAGATTCGGAGTCGCTGTTCATGCACTCCAAGTTGCAGCTGCCTCCTATGCAATTACTTTCACACTTTGAAGCTTCGCACTGCATTTTGCAAGGCCCTTTGCAACTCTGTGTACAGTCCTTGGTACCTATAAGAGATCGTAAAAATAATTTTTTGAGTTTAGCTTGTTCCAATTTCACATTCGGATGCACTAATAACTGAACTATGAGGAGAACTAACAGTAAGTTACGTTCTATACTGGATTTACATGCGACAAGCGGCCTGTCTGCTCCTAGGATCAGCGATGTCAAAAGCCACCTGTGCTCATTTGCAGCTCTTTTTCTTTTCCCTTTTATCCTGCTTATTCTTCCTCTTTTTTTTTCTTCTTCTTCTTCAAAGGACTTACCTTTGGAGCACTCGAGCTCACACCCCTCCCCTTCGCAGCCTTGCTTGCAGTTGTCAGCCTTACATTTCACATCTGTGCAACTCTCGGCGCAATTTTGAACTACGCCTGCACCGCTGGCGAGTAAGCCACAGTTTCCCTTCTCGCAGTGTTGAGTACACTTCGATGTTGCAGTACAGTTCACCAGGGAGCAGTTTCTGAGGCAAGTCTGGGTGCAATCGTCGCCGGAACATTCAACTGAATTACACTTTCCTGACAGACACCGCTGGTAGCAACTTGAAGAGTTGCAGCTGATATTTGAGCAAGGTTCCACCACGCAAACCTGGTCACAATGAGAATAGTCCGCAGTATTTCCGCACTGAAGATCACACACTCCTGTCAGGCAGATTTGAGATCGGGTCGTGTTCGACGTCTGTTCACAGGATCCCCCTTGTCCATTGATGAGTTGAAATACGGCAGACAGGAATAGAATTTGAAGGAGCAGTGCTAATGGGAAGCTTATCTTCATCATGAGAAAAGTCAAGACTACTTGATCTAGGAACATAAAATACCAAATGAATTTAAAATATAATTGTGAGAAAAATGTGTAGCACAGTAAATCGAGTTTTTCTGTCCTAAGAAATGAGCATTATGTCGGCTCACTCGCATTTATTCTTCTTGACTTGTGCTAATTTCACTGTGAAATATTTTCCAAATACGCGGCCGTAGTTCGAAAACGACTTTAATTCACAGGAAAGGTCGCTATACATCTCCTGTCTTAATACTGACGAAATTTAATCTTGTACCTTTTGTTTGAATTTGCATTAGAGTAAAAACATCGTCCGATATGCTTGAGATAAGCTAGATCATTTGTTGTCAAGAAATGTTCTTCATCTGCACTTCATTTTGATACGGAGCAAAAACGTTTTGGGGTAAAGGAATAGTTTGATCACTGATCCCACGAATACAACAGCCTGCTAACAGAAACTTCTACAAAAAATTGTGCAAATACACTGGACAGTATTTACATGAAGTTGTTTACGTACAGACGCTCACGCGCACAGAAAAAAAACTCTTCACTTTCAAACCATGGCAGGCAGGTGAATTTTCAGATACCAGCATTTTCATTTTCGTAAGTTTGTAAGTCTGTTTTTTTGGTCTGATGGACTGTGTATAAACTGAGATACAAATTAAAAAGGTCTCGAAGCAGAATTCGAAGAATTCTTTAAAAGCATTGAGCTTGGCGGTTGACATTGACAATAAAACATGTAGCAATATTTTTTAATGATGCAGAGCCTTCAAAAAGGCTAGGACGCAACATTGCATGAAACATTGCCTTGCGAGTTTGCCGAAGATTCAAGTTAAAATCGAAAATGAAAGTTTCGTGTCTGCTTCAGGCATAATCATTGCGTTTGAACTTTTCTAAAAATAAATCTTTGTAAAGCCGGCCTTTACGGTTCAACTGTCATGACAGACTTTTCTAGAATTTTTTCATGTCTGTATGACTTTGAGAACTAAAATTATCCCAAATCCTGAACATTAAACAAAAAAAAAGAAAAAAAAATTGAAAAAAACAACAGGGAGAACTTCTAACCTAAACGAAAAAACTTCTGGAGCTCTTACGCTTGAACAGTTTCGCTTTCGAGTTCCTGACAGTCTAATTAAGCTATAGACGAGCTTTCGCTTCCATACTCATTTCAGTGTAGAGTGATCTTCATGATCCATTCTTCTTTCGAAAGCGTATACTTCCCACATGAAAACTTGCTACAAAAAGTCTCAAATCAGAATAAATTCTGTAGTGCGGTGATATTTCAAACAATCGCTTCTAAACAGTGTCGGTTACATTCAGGTATCACTGCGCCGAGGGTTCCACACTCAACAGTTTCGCTTATGATCTCCGCTACTTCTTGATATTTGTTAACTGAGTGTTGAGGAGCTCACTACAGGCCGTGGTTATTAGTGAATGATCCGCTTTGTCTCTCGATCGAAAGCACATACTTCGCAGGGAAAAGGTTCCAGTAAAAAGCATAAAAATGAATTCAGCAATGAGTGAACTTCTTAAAGAAACGCATCGAAGGAGTGGAAGGTTCGTTTTCGACACAACGTCCGGCCGTCGTCGTTTATTTATCACAGTCAGTGAACCGCACGAGTAAACCACCACTTATCGGTTTAGTTCCTCTCAGGGGAGTAACAAATGAAGTACAGAAGCCATGCTACTGTAGGAATGCAATCTCTGATTTTGTGGCTTAAATCAAAAGTTTAGAGCTATTCCGATTAGTGTATGGATGCATGCTTTGAAATAAACTTCATGGTCAAATTTCGGCTCATTTCGTCACAACAATCTAGCAACATTCTGATGAACTCACCTGCAGTTTTTTCGGTAAGAAACTTAAATCTATACGGCTGTACCCTTTAGGAAGCTGCTCAGCACAACGTGTCTATAACTTTGAAATTTTAACAGTGCGCAACTGACTTAGACGCAAAATGCACTCAAAGCATTTTCAGTTATTATAATTAGCTTAATTGTTTAGAAAGAATGTGTTTTCACGGCCTTACACGTGACTGCGGAAAGTCACGACATGTAAGTCTTGCCGGAAGTGTAATTTTAATATTTGCTCTTGAAACCTAGCGCACATAACCGACAAGGAAGAGAGAAAGAGGAAACAAGAAGAGTACTTGAAACTAAACCGAACACATTCTTCTGCTCTAACGAAGGGCTAACGCTCGAAATGTCAATCACGGTGACCAATGTAAATTATCAACTCAGTTGATTAAACAAAATAATCTTGCATTACCTCCCATCGAGCCAGTGCCACAGTTTCTTTATAAACTTGGTCCCGAGTAGTATCAATTTTAATTGATAGACAAAAAACTAAGGAAAGATGGCGAGCGCAATCTACGTCGTTGTTAGTTTGCAGAACTCTTTGGATAAAACTCGAACTTTGCTTCAAACACAACAGTTCCTGTTGTTGAACAAACATTAAAAGTCCCTTATGTAATGGGTCGGTCGATACGTAATTTCCATAAAGTATTGTCTTGTTCAGGTTGTTGCTAATAAACAAAGAGACATGTTGTTGCATGCCGGATTCTAAACAAAGTCCAAACTCGAGGGGGGAGGGGGTGGAAGAGGAGTAGGGGGAGACAGAGGAAGCAACTAGTTTAGCACAAATATACATCATTTATTGATGCTTATTTCCTAAAGTTTACAAGATTTTTTTCATTTTTAAGTGTTAATTCCAACGCAACAATGGCCCTAATCCTAAAACAAATCTGCCATTCCTTCCTCCAAGAAGCGTTTGTAAATACTCATAAACTTTGCCACAAAAGCCTCTAAGTGGTAAATGGCCTTATTTCCCTGATGAATACGGTGTTCATAGTGGGCAGCCATTTCTGTTACTTCTGCTTTTAAACTGCCATCACAGTTGGTCACTAATTCTTTGATCAGACCCTACAAAACCACAGGATAGCTCAGTCAGTGTGTCTACATAAAAGATTAGGTTTTTTAGCTTTCTTGTGGTGTGACTGGTCAAACACAAACTTTCAAAGCATAGGAGCTATTTATGTAACCTTCATTTTATCACAGCCAATTTTTAAACAATTTTGACAGCAAGAAAAAAGTTTTATTGAAAAAAGTTTTAATTGTTTCCCTCTTAGTTTTCTCTCTTAGCATTTGATATTTTTATTTCAAGTCAAAGATATTAGCTCTACAGCTACACTGAATTTCGAGCTTAAATAAAGTATATGTATGTATGTATGGAAGAGGCGTGAGTCTGTCCCTTTTTTGACTACAATAATAATTATTCTCTTACCTTAAATATCACATCAGGAGGAATGCAGTGGGTCAAGAGTTCATAAAATCTACCTCTTATCTCTAACAACCTGAATATACATGAACAAAAAATCGAAATTAAAAAACAACAAAATACAGATTAACCCTGTATCTATTACTGAGGTCAGTAATGAAGCTACATTTAGCATGGGTGAACATGTACATGCATTACTTTAGCTTGCTCTTAACAGGGCATTGTGTGATAAGTACCATCAATGTGCGCATGCACTCCATTTCAAGTCAATCAATTAACTAGCATGTTTTTCTAACATCTTGTTTGGCATGATTACTTTAATTCAATGGCAGATATCCATCAAACAGGATTGAATTGCAATGCAAGTTGTAACCTGACCTTTTAGGTGTTTGTTGCTCAACAATTTGCTGAGCAGTGTCCCTCAAATACACCTCCCAGTCTGCCTCTTGAACAGGTTGATCAGGCGAGAAAGGGTACCTGCATGTGCATGCAATGTAAAAAAGGTAAGATCAGGAATACAATTGAGAATGAACTGTATAGGAAAAAGGTGTGAGTGTTGCTACTCCCCCAAGTACAAAGGTTACCTCCCAAATTTAACCAAGTTGCCTAAGGGTTAGCTGGTGCTCACCTACACTACTTAGCAGGGAGAGAGAGAGAGAGACACTGACTGTCTCATTCAAGAACATAACACTCTGATCCCAACCAAAACTTGAACCTAGACCATTCAACCCATAGTCTAGTACTTCTAAGGGTAACCTCCACATAATTGCACTAATTATGCTTTGTTAGTCATTATTTTTAGGCCGTACACTGTACAGTCTAACTGTGAAGCTCTTACTGTTGAACTCTGCAAGCTTCACACATCAGCAGGGCCCTCCGTAGATTCCTCTTTGACTTCTCAGCGATTCTCTTAGAAAGCTCTGCTGGAATAGTCAGGCCCTCCTTTTTGCAAACATTGTGAAGTATTTGACAAATCTGTAAATAAATTCAATCAGAAAAATTATCATTCTAGTAAATCAGAATCTGTTTGCTGGTGTGGAGGGTTGCACATTCAGAAATAATGTAAACTTATCCTGTGCACAAAACTGATAAATTTACACAGTTTACATACACATCTCTTCAATTATCAACATGTTTTATGGAACTAAATTAAAATTTCACAAACTTTGCATAAATACAAAACACTTAACAGTTCCACTGGGCTATGTGAAATAACCCTCTATGAAACACCAAGGTACAAGTTCTACTTTAACACAAGGAAAGGGAGAGTCACCTCTCTCTGTTAAGGAACATTTGGGAAATATCAATAAAGAAATTCACTTCACTCAGTAATGCTGTAGTTTGTCATGAACAAATATTTTACAAGTTTTGTTTTGCAGAGAAAAATGAGACATGATCTTAACTATTTTGATAATCATTTAGGCAATTTCCTGAATTCTACAATCTTTCAAAATATTTCTCTGCCAAATTGCAAAATGAAAATCTTTCATCATGTATAGCCATTTTTTGGTGAAGTTTTGTCAATCATTCATAACAAACCTCATCCACTGATGGAGCAGCCACCCTGACTCCCAAACAACGACTGCGAATTGCAGGAATGACTTTGCTTGTTGAGTTACAACAAAGAACCAGTCTGCATGTTGCTGTGTACTTTTCCATGGTTCGGCGTAGAGAATGCTGTGCATCCTTAGTGAGTCTGTCTACTTCTGTTAAGACTACCACTGAAAATAAAATAAGACACTAACCTGTAAGAATTCATCTATCATGTTGTTTTATTGTAGGAAAGTTAGATGAGCATGATATTTGCCATACACACCCACAGAACTGGTAATTCAGTATTCTTTTAGAAGCTACCTCATGGAGACCTTAAGTTATAAAACAGTCACCAGAGAGAAAATTGTGATTACTTTGCACAATGTTACATAATGTGATGAAATCAGAGATACAAAGAAGCACATTATTATTAAAATGAACAAAATTGCTTAAATAATGTTTCATGAAAATGTTAATCTTACTTCAACTTTAAAAGTACAATACCATATAACCCAAAACACAAGTTACCAAACTAAGGACTTTTTACTGTAAATTCAGACACCAATTTTTTTTTCACCCTTGGCAACCAAAACATCAGCAGCTTAGGCCACTGAGCACAATTATATATTGTATAAATTTGTACTCTTACAATAGTATCTCACAAGACATACAAAATATGTACTTTGTATCACAATGAAACTAGATATGGTGCTCTCAGTAAAATAGAGTCTGTAATAAGCACTAAAATTAAACATACAGTAGTATGGTGAGGTAAATCATGGTTAATGCTACCTTTAAATTCCTTTTGTGTTGTTGAATCTAACTGGTGTGACTGTGCAACAGTCTTGATAAGTTCTTGGACTACAACACGATCATAAATCCCAGCATCACTGTACACAAAATAATCAACAACAAAAATATCAACATACATTTCATTTCTTCTAGGAATAAAAGAAGGAAAAAAAACTAAGCATCCAGGGGCTTTTGAAAACAGTCTTTCAGCAGTCATGGGGAGATGTAGTAGTCTAATGGTTTGTGCGGTGGACTCTGGTACAAGTACAAATGGGCACTGTTGAAATCAGGGAGGCCTGATGAAAATACATGGAAAAATTCATAAGCATACAGTATTACACCAGTTTACCTAAATAATGATAATGATAATATCAAAATAATAAAGGATTTCAATGACATCACAACAATTGGCTCATAGTACCTCACAACACTGACTGAGGGAGACTGGCTTGACTGCATTCAGAAGTTTACAATTTTTGAAGGAACTTTTTACTGATACATGAATTCCCATCTTCAGAATTAAGGCCAAACCACAATACTGGGAGATACCTTCCCTTCTCTTTGCCATAAGTATGTAGGTTCTTTAATGTGCCCTGCTAACCAGTACAGAGAATATGCAGAATTAAGGCCAAACCACAATACTGGGAGATACCTTCCCTTCTCTTTGCCATTTTCAGATGTCTTAACAAAGGCAGCACATTCTCAGTTAGTTTTAAGACCCTGAGTGTTGTTCTGGTCTGGGGCTTGAACTGTCACCCTGCAGCAAGGTAGCTGTGCATAAAGCATCTTTTGGAAATTACATGTTACCTTGGATTGATTTCTAAGTGGTAAGCACTGCCAATAGTTGACATCTCAATCTTCCTGTTTGATGGGGTCTATTTTGAAATAAGATAACAGTAATCACAAATTGAATAAAGATTGGTTAATTGTTTGATTATCTCCCTTGAAAAGCCACCTTTTGTTGATATTTTCAGTTTCTCTAATTCATTCTTTGGAATTTCCGGTGATGTAGTGAGTGCAGTTTTCATAAAAGTACATGTACAGTTAATGCATCTACTGTGAGCAATAGTTTTTTTTCGGCTAATGATCCTTTCTGTCAAGGTGATAATGTTTGAAATATACATATCATCTAAGACTTACCGTGAAACTCTGTTGTTCAATCCTCAATTTCTCCACACCAGGACCATAGAGCTCTCTCAGGATGCACATGATTCGGGTCTTCTTCCCAGCCCCTGATGGGCCATAAACTAATAGATGTGGAAAGTCTCCACAGTGCACCTTTACATAAAAATATTTCTGTTAACAACATACTGCATGTGATATTTTACAACAAGTCACAAAGGGAAAGTATCTGCTTGCGTTGGGGGTAGATATGGAAGGAGAGAGTATCAATGTTACAAAAAGTTATGTTCCTCGAAATTCGCTGGCCGCCATACTTTAACCCTACATGCAGTTGGATTAGGTTTATGCGTTGCAAAACAAGAGAGAACCAAGCGAGGATGAATCCAAGCGCTTGAGATTAGTCGCTTTTTAGCATTATAGACATTTGAGAGAATATTCAGCGTCAACGAGCGCGGAATAAAGTACTTCTGAACGTCCAAACTACAGCCCGAATTATTTCGTACATAAACAAACTAAGCATACCAGTTTTTTTAAATGTGCCGCAAGATCCTTATGGTAGTCTAGCTTGGATAAGGAAGTCGGACGATATTTATCCACCCATAAGCTCATTCTGTCGATCGAAATTCTGTACAAATAACCAACATTCGTGTAGTCAACTTGTAATGGCGGTCGACCTTCGCGCGCTCTTTGCCGCCAAACGGAAGAAGTGAGCCCGCGATAACGTTTGTCAGGTTATTTTTCACAAACTACAGTCGTTAATGTTTGCACGAAATGCCATAGCTTATCTACTGGCAAAAGCAAATTTGGGGCCGACCTCCATAACGATTCAAACTTTAGACTTCTCGTGGTCGAAATTCGAACGCTTTACCAGCTCAGTGTTGCAAGGAGCTAGTAAATTGTTGATCGTATTCCATACCAACCAGCTTATTCTGTTAGCATCTTGAATGTGTGTTACTGAACAGATAGCACACACGTACAGATACTGTTGTGGCTCGGTTTTGCATCAGTCGTTTATTTCAACAACAAATCAGTTTCATGGTTGTGGCTCATCTCTGAATCATGTGTATTTCAACAAGGAGGCAGTTTTACAGCTGTGGCAAATTAGTGCATCATGAGTTTTCCAGCAAGGAAGTAGTTTCTATAAAAGTCATAAAAAGGTTTGCATCGTGAGACTTAATAAAATCAACACGCTATCGACCATTAGTAGGCCGAGCTCTTCATCTGTGTCAAGATACTGCTGAAATAGAGGAATCTTATGGTGGAAGAAAGGGCGCATATGAGGGAAATACAAATCTTTCTGACAAAATAAGGCCTATTTCACGGAAAGGTAACAGGATTGCACTTATGTCGCAAGTACGTCCCCCCCCTCCCTTTCTAGAACGGAGGTTTTACGACAGTCGAATCTCATCGGTAAATGAAAACGCTGAAAAAGAAACCTTCCATCTCTGGTAAACGGAAAGCACAGTAAGGGGTTATAACTCACTGATAAAGTTCCATATCTCGCCAAAATCTTGCTGTCAACCTGGCCGTCTGAAGAATATCTGGAAAACTGACAAGGAATAGCTAGGCAGATTTTCGATGCCTTCCTGAGAGGGTAAGAAAAATGACGGACAAAGTAAAGTGTCCAAGAAAATCTTCGAAAAAAAAAAAGGAATTAAAAATATCCATGACAAACGTTCTTCGGTTTTTTAATATCTTATTTTTATTATTCTTGTAAATAATTCTAAGGCTTTGTTTTGAACGTAATTTCAAACCACGCTTTGTATATACAATGATAAATTTAATCCTACGCATGTATCAAGAAAGGTTTTTGTTCCAAAAACTTACTTCTTATTTTTCGGAAAGCTTATAGAGCTTGAAGAATTAGATATTCAAACCCAAGCGATTAATTTATTTACGATCTGTCAGGTCAGTTAACCCTCTCACCCGCAAGATCTGAATATCAACTATCCCTACTGTTTTTGATACATCCGCTGTAATCTTATCTCCGAGAGTTTGGTGTAAAATCAAACAGTATCCTCTTGTAGATAGTTTTCTTTCTCCTCGTCACATTTACAGAGAAATTTCCGTTAGGTCACTCCTGGGAATGAAAAGGTTAAGCAAGAGGAAAATAAAGCGCAAATGATATCGATGTGATCTGTTACAAATGTTACATTAGTTTTAGTTTCCCTCGGCTTGAGTCGTTTCTTTATGACATGCGAACTGAAAACCACAAAATATTACTTTGGTAACTGAGAGAGAAAAAATCCAAAGTGGTAAAACAAAAGCAAACAGGAGCTAGTACTGTAAAAACTCGGAGAGGGGTTATCACGGTTTGTTTAATATACTTAAAAATCCTAAGCTATGTTTTTAAAGATGCACAACCATCTGAGTAATTTGTTTAAAAATAAGAGTTCGTCAGTCGGATTAGACATTGACAGGTTTCGTAACTGTGCCTTGTTTTCTCGACAAAGCATTCCTTGTGGTTCCTGGCATGGTAGCCGTACTGTAACGGCGTTTTTCGGCGATGGTAACTGCACTTAGACGGCGTTTTTCGCTAATGGCAGCAGTGCTAAATCGACGGTCGATCATCAGCGATCTGTTAGATCTTGTTAACCACGTGATATTAGACGAGCTTCGGCGGCGACTGTAAGTCCTGCTAAAACCCATATCATCCGGGATAATAGCGGAGCATGTCCAAGCCGCTTTGAATCCCTCTCGATATTTTCGATGAAATAACGCGTACAAATATGGGTTTATGGCCGAATTTGCATGTCCTAAGAACAGGGAAGTGAAATAAAAGCTCAGAGAGGAGTCAAAACAGGGTATTTTATCATAGGCGAAGAAAACTATAAACAGGTACACGTGAAGAGGCAGCCAACATACGCAGAACAGAGTTATCACTGTTATAAGCATTTTGACGACTTTTTTCCTCAATGTGCGCGTTCTGATCTCGTCTCCGCTTGAACGAAAACCCGGAATTTGCCTTTTCCATAGTTTAGAGACAATGAATGAGTACATGAAGAGCATTGTAAGTAACGGAAAGGCGTACAATGTCACGAAGAGTATTAAGGTGTAGTCCTTTGCCGCAGTTTGGGGGTTAAAAGCGGGGGCCCAATCTTCGATACACATCTCGTACCCATCTGCAACAACTACAACTCTTTGCGCGTACAGAAATGGAGCCATTACTGCCAGAGAAATCACCCACGTGACACCGAGCATTAATCTGGCCGCAAAGAACGATGGCCGTCTTTTAAATGGGAAGATGATGGCCCAGAAACGATCGAAGGAAATCGCCAGCAGAGTCAAAATAGAACTTGCTACGGAAACACTCTGGAAAAAGACCACAATCTTACAAATGGCCTCTCCGAAAATCCACTTTTGTCCGAGATAAAGCTGAGTTATCATGTTTGGCATTCCAAGGAACGTGATTAAAAGATCACTGGCGGCCAGGTTTCCGATGAAGAGATTGGTGACGCTTCGCATACTGTTGTTTCTCCACACTGTAAATATTACTATTGAGTTTCCAACTAGCGAGAGTAAAATAATAACACAGTAAGCCAGTGTCTTTATGGTTTGAGTTGCCGTTGTTTCGTAATGTACAGGGCAAGCGCCAGGATTAGCTGTTTCATTCAAGGTGGAGTTGAGACTCCCATCAGCACCCATGGTGTGTTATCGATAACTGTTTCCAAATGTTTATCGATAATCTGTTAGAGATAGTCCTCCGATGAGAACACAGTCTGTGCTGTGCAGTTAAGCTCTTCGTCTCCACTAATTAATCCAGATCAGCAACCGCTCTGCGAAAATGAGAAGGAAAGATAAGTTACGTTCATCTTTATTGTATTTTACTTAGCAACTGATCTACTTCCTTCATTCTTCATTCTTCATTCTCACCACTTGCTTCACCGATAACTAGCCTTCAAAGAAGATAGACCCGTTGATACTGTGTCTAATTAATAAATTTTTTTTTCTTTTAACAGAAAATTAATAATGGAGCACAGCTGTATTCATTAAAAATCATTTTAGTTCGACAACTTTGATCACTTGATTAAGAAAGTAAATTGCTGCGGTAGCTTTTTACTTTCGCGCAAACTTACACTATGTTTGCTCAAATCATATTGATGTCGGATAGAATTGGAATTATCCAATATCTTCAGCTCAATCTACAAAGTGCCGGTCAGACTTTTCGTAAGCAAGTGCTGTAATTAAGCTGCCAGAACCAATACTTCTATCAATTGAATTTTCCGAAACGTAGATCACAAAGTAAACGTTGAGCGTCGCACAAAGTTTCAATTCGTCATACCATAAACTAAATCGGATTTATTGAATTATAGTGTTTTTCCGACTTTCAGAACTACAAAGTCGTTGGATATTCAGTTGCTGCTTGCAAATTTTTGTATTCTAAGGCGGCCCTAACTCTCAGGTGCAATTATACGTGACATATCTTCAGCACTGGCGCAAAACGTTATCCGCAAAAGAAGAAGTAATGCAGCTAAAAGCTGGGAGATAATTTAACAATATAGTTTGTCGTTTCACGCGCTCTTGTGTTGTTTTTCAAACAGAATTAATTAGGTGAGATTTTTGTTTTTTGATGAAGAGGGTACGGAGAGGCTGATGCATGAATAACAACTAAAAAGGGAAATAAAAACGGCTACACCAGGATTACGTTGTATCCCTGTTCCTTTCAAAAATTACCCTCTCTTTCTCTCTCTCTCTCTCTCAAAAACGGAAAAGATGAAGAGTAAAAAATCCGAGAAAATAGCTGATGCATGATCATGAGCACTGTACAAAAACAAATCAATGACATAAAAAAAGGTAATATGAGATTTTTATGAACAATTCGTATCGCAAACGGCAATAAAATCTTAAATTCATCGTTGAACTCGTATTTAGAAGCCGATCCTGCTTTACTAATATTATATCAGTATACATAAATGAAAAAATAATTTACCAAGTGTCTGATTCAATTATACGCACTACATGTATACAGTTCCATTCTTATGGCAATTTCCGTATTTAATGCCACTCACCCAGCCGAAGAAATACAAAAACGTCCCACAGTAGCTTTCCAATAGAGAAGTCGAAATGCCTTCATTCTACTATGCTGTTCTGCCAATTTAGAAATGGAGATTAATTCCTAATCCGGTCCTGATTAATTCAATGTTTTTCACGCCGAAACGGAACTCAATCAGCATGGGAAATCTGCTTTTACAAATAACGAGAAAAGAAGGGAGCGTGCTGCGAAGTTAATTTCTTTTTGTGAAAAAGTCGCTTGCAAATTTTTGCATGAACAACAGCAAGATGCCTAGTCTGAATAAAAAATGAGCGATCAATCGGCCTTTTTTATTTGCCTCCTTACACCCACGTATGTCGTCGTCTACAGCCAATTCAATTTTGTAGACCCCTAAAACACAAAATTTCCAAATACAAAAGTGCGTTGCTCCCATTGAAAGTAAATAGCCGGAGGAAAATGTTTTTTTAACTGCAAAGCCTCTGATGGTCGAAAAATATATCGTCGATTATTTAATAAGGAAAGACTTGAAATTTATTATGTTAGCTAATTCATTTCACTCATCTGCATAAAGAGTTGGCTCAAGTTATTGGCTATGAGGGAAACAAATTACAGACACTTAATGGCTGCCCTGAAGGAGGTCAAAGTGATCTACAGAATTTTAGGTAAATGAAGTTAAAAATTTAAATTTTGCACTAATAAACGATAAAATTAACGATAACTCGATAATTTTCATTTCTACTCCCACTATAAGGTGGCAAAAAATATATTAAAAGTCACGTCGAAAACTAACTTCAGAAAAAACTAGTAGGCTCTACAACGAAAACAAAAATTTGAAATCCCCTCACTGCAAAGCAAAATAAAATCCCACGTAAGCTTTTCGAACGATGAAAATTATCCTAAAGGCGTTTTGGGGGTTTTCGTGACTCTATCCTAGAAGAACCCTAAGCGTGTCTTTAGCCCAAATTTACCTTTGTTTTAATTGATCAGCAATGTGCTGTGAGAATCAGCTAAGATGACTCTACCTCAAACTGACAAATATTAATGTTTTTCTCGGTCAACCATCTCTTCCCATCTCGCTTAAGTCTTTTTATAAGCTTTCACCATATCGAGCAAATAATGAATGTTTGTATTTCTTGTTCAAATATCCTCACACCTTTTTCGCCGCGACTTAAGTGAAAAAATGAGAAAAAGTGTCAATGTAGAATCGGATCAGATATGATTCCCCAACAAACAGCAATGCAACGGAATCCACCTAAATCCAACAAGCTTTTAAATAGTTGGTAAAAAAATCAGTCGAAGAGATAAGAATCGACCAATATTTGAATTAAAACTTCACTGAGAAAGTCTAACACGAGAGTAAAATGGAGGTGCGAGATTTAGGAATTCATACATATATATACTGTTATTATTTGTGGAATTTTGTTGAATTTTATGGCGTTTCATTTTATAAACATTAATTGTTACGTTAGAAGTATTCTGTTTTTCCCTGGAAATTAAAATCAATTCTGAAAAAACCTTGTTGGATGAATCAATAAAGTTTGTACATGTATTATTTGCGCTTTGTCGGGTTTCATGCTCACAATATATTTCTCGTACGTATTATTTATCTTCACCTTTACAATAGCGAATGCGTTTGACAGACTATTCAAATTTTTGGCCAAAATATTGAATTAACGAAATGTTATTTCAGACACAGCTTTTACACTCTGTTACTGAATGATTTGTGAAGACTGAGGCGTTTGTCTACGATAACACTTTGACTCGCTCTGCCTAGTACAGAGTTGATATGTCTATAAGATATTTGTTTGTTTTCAATCACACGTTGATAATACCCAGCGCGATCCAAATGTACTGTCATTTGGTGCGCGTGATAGACTGATAAAAGCAGCAACAACTTCAGACTTCAAGTTCAAGTTGCGGTGGATGACTAGTTTTCAAGATTTATCATTTTTTAACAGATAATTAATCCTTAAGCCTTTAAATATGTTTAATTTGCGTACACAGCCTGTAAATTACTTTAACCGGTGAGTGTTTCTTATCTGATGCGGCTGATTATGCTCAGAATTCAAGCGTTTGCACCACATCGATAAAAATTCGCGTTACACTGAGGCAACATTTAAAGGGAACAAGGGGAGGATGATATCCTCTTTTGAGGTGAGTTATCATAGGCCAATCTTTCACTGTTTGTTTGCGTGGAGAGAGCATTGGAACTCCTGATAAAACAAATTGCCATTTTTCATCAGGGATCATATCTCTCATTTAAACGTTCATATTGATTCTGTTCAGCGTTCTTAACTGCTGGAACTATTTGAAGACAAGCTGGCGCCTTTTTCTGTCATTAAAATTTTTTTCTTATCACCATTTAATAATCCAGTTGTTTTACACGATCTTAGTTATCAGATTTTTATTAATTATTTTTGGTGCTAAAGCGCTAATTGCAAAGTATCATGACAGATCTTTAAGTCATGTTCCACGCTAACAGTTCCGTGCAGGCTCTGTTTATGAGAGGAACAAGAAACCTATTACATATTCAAACCATTCTCTTCGAAACATTCGAGGAAGGACTTAAGAAATCCCGACTTCAGTTAAATGTACAAATCGACTTAGTTGTAAACTTGATGGCACGCAGAAACAATACCAGTTTTTAACAGATGCTGAGAACGAAAAACATTAAAGAGGCAAAGAGGACTTTAATTGATACCAAATTTTCGAATAAAAAGGAATGCATTCAGAAGATATGTTTCAAAGATACTTGCTATAGTTTAAGTTTTAGATATAATAAGCAAAGGTTAATCAAATGAAATAAAAGTCCCATAGATTCGACTGCGTGTTTTGCTTGGTTTTCGTAATTAGTGATGAGTTTTTCAGCAAAACTGTTGTCCAAATTCATTGAAGTTTTTGGCATCCAGATGTATATCCCACTGAGATCTAATTGGAGTTCTCTTGCCTCTGGCTAAAAGCAAGCGATACATCTCAATTATCAACTATTCCAATTTTGTCCGACCATAGCCGGCTAACTCGGAGCACTGCTATAAATCTTGTAACTACGTCCTACAAAACTAAGACTGCGTATAATTGGCCTCCTTTACTGCGGTAAACTGTTTCAGGCGCCAGTAAACATTGTGATACAATTAGTAACTAGTTGTTTTTAAGTAGCACATACAAACATGTACAGTTATTGTGACACCCAGTCGTTCGTCGGAATTGCAAAAGGGTTGTTCATCAGAACGAAACGTTTTGTCCATTGTGCGTGTCAGTGGGTTCCCGCTGATTTGTGCGCGTGATAATTTTGAAACAATTTACAAAATGCCGGGAAAGAAGCACGCGTCTAATGAACCACAGAATATTTGTTTATGATAAATAAAGTTTATCCTGCTGGGTTTTTGACTAACTCTGTTTCCTGTTACATTTCAACACACAAATAAGTTTTTTCTATTGCCCGAAATTTACGTTAGTTTGGTTTGGAAGAAGCAACTCGCGTGCCCTTCGAAGGCAGCTGCTAACAGATAATTGAGTGTTAAGGCCTGTTGGACAAGATAACTCAGTGGTAGAACACGGCTTCTGAATCAACCCACTGCGCGAGCATAGACTGATAATAAGCTTATTAAACAAATATCCAACAATGTGGTCAAACCTCTCAAGCTGATTTAGAAGCTGTTTCCTTGTGAACTAAACTTACCACTTGAATCTAAGCAGAGAGGCTTTCATAGCAAACTGCAAGCACACCTTTCTACTGCACTTAATTGATCTGGCTCATCTGGTACTGAGGCGTGCGGCGAAAAGTTGATAAATGAGCTCTAGTACCAGTCCCAATGACCTTAGCCTACGGTGTTTAAAGGGCGATAATAACGAATTCCTATGCCGACCATTTAATTTCACTTCAAAGAATAGCCGCTCCTCTTTCATGTAAGTGTGTAACCCTAGTTTATCAGGGTCAGTGTAAATTATGTCCAAGTACCCAGCCTGAGAGCGGGGTCAGAGGGGGGAGGAGGGGGGGTGACAGGGGTATATAACATCAGGTAATTTAGTGTTAACAACTGAGTTGAAAACGTAAATTAGCCACCGTAAAAGGTAAAAAAGCTGAGCGTTAGCACTTCGTCAGAGTATATAACATCAACCTACTATGCGGGGATGGACCAACGGAATGGTGAACCTTTTTCGTTTAGCTGCAGGAACGAAAAGTTGCGAAGAAGAAATACAGGTGAAACTCTTCCCTTTACTACTTGGGTTGCCTGTTTCTGTATCATTGGCGAATGATACAGATGCAAGGACATGTCTGTCTGTGTGTGCACCGGTTTTCAACGTAGGTTTAAAGAGGTGGTATCATATTCGAAGAAGATATTAAAAAGCATATTGTATTTTGTAAACTACTTGTAAATAGAAGACAAAAAAAAAAGTAAAGAAAAAAGAAGGAAGTCTTGAGCCGCGATATTGATCAATGTCTATCTTGACTTACTTGTCTCTTCCCTTCATCCCCTCCCCTCACCCCTCCCCCTTCCCCTCTCCCCCTTCCCCTCTCCCCCTTCTCCTCTCCCCCCCTCCTTCTTCACCTGCTGTTCGATAATGAATCAAAGCGAAGGCAGAAGTGTCTGTTACCATAAAAGGCAAACGTGATATTAGACAATTTTTAATTTTGACGCAATATGGCGTGCATCGACGACAAACATTTATTTCCTGTCTGCGAGACTATGGCAATCATTGTCCAAATTATTTATCTGAAAATGCATTCAAATTCACGGCTAAGCTGTTCTAGAAAAGAATCATTTGTTTTCTGACAGCGTAATTTTAGAAAACTAAATAATTACATAGATCATATCAGATTCAAAACAGATCAGTTAATACATATCGCCTTCGGGGTACAAGGAAAAAGTCACACACATCGACCAGCCGAGTTTCTTGTGCACTCACGTAATTTCAATAATATACAATCCGGATTCTCAGGAATGTATGTTCGTTGCCTATCACTCAACTGCCGTTTTCCAACCAGTAAAAAGAACAACTCCTCGCTCTGTTTCTTCTGTTTCGTTCTCAAGACAGATTCACGTATTGATTCTTAAAGAGGAAGTCTTGGAGATCTTTTTGGGGTTCACGCTTTAACTACAAAAATTTCAGGAGTAATTCTCCCTTCTAGTTACCGTACATTTTCCTATAGACTGATTGAGGGAATTTGAACTATATCAGCTTGAAGACAAGCTCTAGCTGATAAGTTTTGTCCCTTCTTATCACTTGCATGCTGTTTAATGTACTGATAGGGCAAGGAGAAATTACACTTGTATCCCTTGTATCCCTTCTGTAAGTTAAGATCGTTTAGGATTGAAGGAGTAAGGTTTGGAAGTCTTTCACCCTTTTTGCAACTTATGATCTGTGAAATAATAGCACTCCATGAAAGAAAATTTAAAATCTGAACTAGAGACATTTTCAATTGAGTTTCGAAAGACATCCGGAATTACTTTGGCTTTGCTTGGTCAAGAAAACTCGCGCTATTTTCTCACTTTTTTGACTAATCATGCAGACCCAAGACTAAAACCTGTGCCTTAAGTTGTTCGTTTATTTTTACTGTGTTCTTATTCGCTCCTTTTGATATAATTTTTCCCTCTGATTAGTTGTTTTGGAGTTTGGTTTTTGTTTTACCACCCTCGAAAAACCAAAATATTTCGGGAATATTTCTATGCCCTGAATGTCAATTCAGCGCAATGTCCGCCGTTTTTTATTCCATTTTAGCCCTGAGAATACAATGCTAAATCACGTAATCGTTCTCCATGTTGATGTTCTTCTTTTTACTCATCATATTTTTGTCTGAAATTTTTTCGAAATTGTCAGGATAAATTATTGTTTGGTCACTCAGGGTTAAAGCTTAACATAGATTTCTGATTTAAGGGGACTTGATAAAATTTAAGTCATTGAAGCGAGACATATTGACTGATGAGTACAACTGTTGGCTCCAATGAGCCACACTTCATTTTACTTATTATGATTAACATCTAAGGGCAAAAATATTTTAAAAAATCAAGCCTTATTATAAAAGTGTGTTTTTTCCCCTTTTTTTTTTGAGGGAACAAATTTCAAATCCCTCTGACCGTCATCTTATCAGCTGGTGTACTAATAAGTGCCAGCATCAATATCATGGCAAACTCATTGCTATTGGAAAAAAAAGAGAAAAAAACTAACTGACCGGAACGGTAATCTTTAGAAATAAATACTGCACTATATTAACAGTGCCATAAGCGAAAATCTCTATGTTTATGCGAACTCAATGTAAGAAATCATACGAAGGTTTAACAATGATAATAAAACAGAATGTAATTTGAAGTAGTCTACGTCTTAGTACACCCTTAATCACCGTCAACAAACACGTTTAAAAATGTCCTACATGTGAATCAGTTATTTTCATGACACAAGGCAGATTCTCCTTACCGATTTCTCAAATGGCCTTTACTGTGTTAAGCCGCTCAAGTTGATCTTCAAGTTAAAAGTGTTTTTTGTTCTTACGAAAAATTTTCCTCGTGTAAGCTGAATGATATAATGACATCAACCCGTGAAAGCCCCAAATAATCACTAGGAGTAGTCATGGCTGACATAAGAAGAGAAAATGTTTTTCTTTTTTCCGGTTTTCAATGGTGACGCAATACCGTACCAGAATTGATCCACCGGGGGCGTTTATCTATCATATTCCTTCATTTAATTTTTTTTTTGACGTTTTTGCATCATATTTTCGCAATCGAGGTATTGTTCGATCTTCAAAAATGATACCTCAAAAAAGTTTTTAATTTTCGAGATAAAATTAACCGATCTGTATCCTGTCTGTGGGTGGAGCTCGAACAAATCTTTTTCATTAGAGCAATTGTGACAGCTTTTAAGATGCTTGCGTCTTTTGGCCGGTGCCTTTTAATTAGACCGTACGTCATATTAACTTCATGAAGTGTGATTCTCAGTTTCTTGAGCTATTCAATGATATACCACTATTCAAAGCGCAACAATTTAAAGAAAAAGCCTCCAGCAAAATCATTAAAATCGTTTGCTTGAAGAAAAGAAAGACTATTTCTAACAAAGGAAGAAAAACAAATACGAGAACATTCATTTCAATATTTTCATGTTCCAACTCGACTCCGATTACGGGCCGCCTCCCTATTAATTTCCCTTCTTCATAAGCGGAACCAAAACAACCACAAAATTACTTTTTCTTACAATGCTTTTATGTGCGTAAGGCGAAGCAAACATTTGCGCATTTTCAGTGGTTCAGCTAACTTATTTCGTAAACCCTATAAAATGTTTTGATTTTGATTAAGTATGGCTCGTTTCATGTTTCATTTTTGGCAAACAACAAAAACCATAATGCAAACATTCATCAAAAGCAGAGACAGATTTACTAGGTTACAAACACCTTGCTTGAGGGAAAGTCTCGTAGGTGGTAAATTCAGGAGACTTCCCTCCGTCATTTCCTTTAAGTTTCTCGAACGTGTTTCAAAAACACCGATCACGAAGCCGACTAAGACTCTTAAAAGTCGAGTATACTTCCGTAAAAACCACTATCTGTAGGAAAATTTGAAAAAAATGGAAAGCCTAATTGTCGCTGCTATACGAAATTTCCTTTTTATAAGTTTATTCATTTAATTATGAGTTGGCTAAAATCTTCAAGTGGAGGACAAACATCTTGAAGAGATTGGGTTTGCTTCTTGTTTCTGATTTCGATTCATCCACAAAAAAAAATTCTTATACTTGCCTGACTATCTTCCAACAATATCCTCCTGGGCTGTGCTTACCACGACTTAAAAACGACCGTTAAATTCTCGTTCAATACCAAACTCTAATCAGCGAGACTTGTCTTTTTGTTTGTTTCGTTTTTCTTTGCTTTAAATCTTTATTTTTTGAGCCGATATTATATTTATATTATATTATTTATTATATATGTCATTCGTAAATTCTCGAAACAAAAAGTCTAAATTGCGTGATCTAGCTTTCTTTCGGTATCTATCTCCAAACAGATCGAGTCTTCTAGAGTTTTAATGATCACTGTTTCTATTTTACCGCATCATTATCCCTTGAGAATAGACCCTTTTCTTGAATTACGGCTGAAATTTATACGTGGAATTTACATCAGCACTAGAAAACGATGCTTATTAAGCTGAGAAAATGAAAAATAGAATTTGAAAACTCATAAGTTAATGTATGAGAGTATGCTATTCTCTACTCCAGACGTACTTCCTGAAATATCACTTCTCTGATAAATTGCTTTATTTTGACTAGAATTTTCATCGTTTACTATCCACACCATGATCCTTCTCATTAAGAAATCATTTTCGTAGGATGAATAGGCTGAAGATTTTGACCGATATAATGGGGAACTGTCATTTAATACAACGATAGCGGTAATCTCAAAGGAGTGCCGGCAGGATCAAAAGTTGAAACGAAATAAAGATAGGTTCCTACTCACCCTCTTATGCGCGGTCAAATGTGGAACAAAGTGAAACTCGCACTTTCTGAATGTGAGTCCAACTTACCTCTAATAATGCAATATATACGCCTGACGTAAGGATTGCAGCTGATTAGTTAAAACACCTTTAAAGTGCGTAGGCAAATACACTTGAAGGGTTGCAAAAAGACAGACATCATGCGTATTTGCCATGTGGGTGTAAGTAAGAAAATTTCAATTTTTTCTTTATTAGGTCCAGCCTTGATGAAGATTTCTCTCCATCGTGAAAACAATCTCCACTTTTGGCAGGTGCATGCGCAACGAGTTTTATGAATCAAATTTCATTG